GGAGCAGGACCAGCAGAGGGCGGGAGACCAAAAACCTGCTCAAGGAGCGGAACGAAGTACGGCCGCGGCCGCGCAGCGCCTCCAAAATCAGCAGGGACAGCACCAGTACTCCTAGTAGCAGCACCAGCGCCAGTAGCACCGCCAGCTCCAACAGCGCCAACTCCGGCACCCTCAGACGCACGAGCGCCAGCAGAACCTCCAGCGTGAACACCCCCAGTAGCTCCAGCTCCAGCAGCTCCAGCAGCACCAACTCCAGCAGGACCGGCAGCTCTAGTACCGCCAACAGCTCCAGCAGTACCTCCAGCAGGACCAACTCCAGCAGCCCCAGCAGCACCCCCAGTCCAAGCAGCTCCAACACCGCCAGTACGAGCACCTCCGGGACCAGCAGCAACAGTAGTACCTCCAGCTCTAGCAGCACGGCTCCAGCGCCGGGCAAACCATTCGCGCAGCTCCTGTGGAGAGAGTGGCTCCCGCCTCGAGGAAGCACCGCGAGCGGCCACACGAGCAGACCCAGCACCCCCAGGCTCCGCACCCCCAGACTCAGCACCCCGAGGCTCAGCACCCCCAGACTCAGCAACCCCAGGCTCAGCACCCCTGGACTTAGAACCCCCAGGCTCCGCACCCTCAAGCCCAGCACCTCCAAACCCGGCACCCGCAGGCTCAGCACCTCTAGCAGCACGAGAGTCAACAGCTACCTCGACAGGCTCGACTGCGTCTACCTGGGACACACCTGACGGGGCAGGACCCTGAGGGGGGAGGGGGACTACCGGGGGAGGACCTGGCGCAAGGAAAAGCGGCGGCGGGGGGAGGGGCGTAGTGCGGTAGGGGAAGAGACGGTTGTAAGGCACCGACTCGTCAAAGGTGACGTCCTGGGAGGAAAGAACACGGCGCGAGGTAGGGTGGTAAAACTGCCACCCAAGCGCGTCAGGGGGGAAGCCAAGGAAGACGCAGGGAACAGCACGGGGGGACAGCTTGTCCGCAGACAAGTCGCGAACAAACGCCCGAGATCCCCAGACCCGAAACGCAAACGCATCGCCAACCTTCCCCGTCCACCGCAGGGTGGGGGAGGACTCTGGCAAGGAGACCCGGGCCTGGAGGTTGAGCTGATGCGCTGCGTACTGAACCACAAATGGCCATAGAAAATGGGGGGGCAGCCGCATGGATCATGGACGAACGAGCGACGTCCATGACCATGCCAATGCGGCGCATAGCAATCCCATTTCGCTGTGGAGAGGCCGGAAGCGTGAAGGTCTGGCGGATGCCCTATGCTCGACAGAAGGCTCTCAGACGGGCAGAGGAAAACTCCCCGCCTTTGTCAGAGTGCAGTCGCAGAACAGGAAAATCCGAGCCGAAACTCTCTCTCAACTGGAGACGAGCTGCGCGGATCCAGTCGATCAACACCTCAGTGACATCGCCCTTGCTGCGCAAGGGGAAGACGGTGGTGTAACGCGAGTAGTCGTCAACCACCAACAGGAAGTAACGCTCGTGCCCCTGCCCACGGACGCGGGCGGGGCCCCAGACGTCCATGTGAAGAGTCTGCAGCGGAGCCTCTGTCGGAGGAAACTCGGAGGAGTGAGGGGCGGCGCGCTGTCGCCCCTCGACGCAGGGGACGCAGGTAGGGGCAGGCCCCGAAGGTAGGGGAGGGAGAGACCAGGGGAGACCAGAGACAAGGACACGGGAGGCCATGCCTCGGAGACGAGGCAGGGAGGGGTGACGAAGGCGATGGTGCCAAAGAAGAGTCTGGTGGGACAGGAGACGACATGAGCTGGGAGCAGACTCAGGACCAGACCTGGACGCTGCAGCAAACACCTGACTCGACGCAGCTACCTGACCAGACTCAGCAGTCGGAGGAGACTCAGTAGTAAGTGTGTACAGGCTCGACCCCGGCCGACGGGTGAACGTGGCCAAGTGTCGGCCTGTCCGAGCACACGTCCAGTGGGTCACCCGCTGACTCGCAGGAGTGAACTGGTCAACCCCCCTATCCTGGAGGTCAGCTCCACTCACCAAGTTCGTAGAGAACGAGGGGAGGTAGAGACTGGATAGGGTGCCATAGGGGGCTGCCGGGCACGGTAAGACAGTGGAGAAGCTAGCAAGGACAGGACCCCCAGAGGGGTCCGCCAGGGAGACCGCAACCGGCCGACTAAGTGGCGTAAGCGTGGTGCGGTCTCGAAAGAAGGAGCGGGAAGCACCCGAGTCAAGGGTGAAGGTGTGTAAGGCCTGAGCCGACGTGGTACCTGAGAGAGCAGACTCACCAGCACCTGGGGCAGCAAAAGCACTAGCACCTAGAGCAGCAGCCTCGCTAGCACCTAGAGCAGCAGCCTCAATGCCCGGGTCAGGCGGAACACACAGGTAACAGTCACCCTCAACACTATCAGATACAGCATACATGGAAGCAAGAATAGCATCATAGTCAAGATCAAAGATAGCAACCCCCGCCCTAGACAGCTCTCCCTAGCGAGGGATCTCAGAGGCCTCAGGGAACTGGTGACGCCACGCGTCCGTCAGGCGGCCGAAGCAGCGCTGGGTGGAGTACGGGCCCCCGCACTGCTCACCAGCGCGGTCGCCAGTACGGAGGACGTAGGTGCAGGGACCAGTACCCCCACCGCGCTGACGCGCAGCGGACCACTCACAAAGCTGCTGAGGGGACAGGGTCTCACGACTGCGCTGCTGCTGCTGGCGCGGACCACCACCAGAGCCACTCATCTGCGCAGAGCCGCGACCAGCTCCACCGCTGCCGCCGCCGCTTCCGCCACCTCCGCCGCCTCCGCTCCCTCCGCCACCGCCGCCGCCTCCACCGCCTCCACTGCTGCCACCGACACCTCCACCCCCGCCACCACTCCCACCACCACCCCCACCCCATCCACTGCCTCCACCACCACCTCCACCGTCCCCGCCAGCCCCTCCAGCGCCCTTGCCCCCCTTGCCCTTGCCGGTGCGGCGTCTCCCGCCAGGGGCAGACGCAGCGCCGACCGACTCGAAACCAACGAGGTCGGCCGCACCAGCAGAAGCAACAGAGGGCAAGAGGGGGGAAGGGGAACACCCCTCAAAGACGGGGGTGCAAGGGTCACCACGAGAGGCTCCTACAGCGACTATGCTTTTCTCTGCTGCTAGGAGGCGCTCCTCGAGGAGGTCAACGGTGAGTGTGGTGGGGCAAACTGAGAGGAAGTGGTCCCTGACTAAGCGAAGGGAGTCAGGGAGCCGGGTGACTATGTAGTAGAGGGTGATGTACATGGGGGGGGGGGTTCTTGGCACAGAACTCAGCAGGAAGCGCAACGCGGTAGCGAGTGTCACTAGTGCGAAGGTGCGTAATGAGGTCAGCGACTGTGGGAAAGGCAGCAAGGTCAGGGAACAGGTACGGCAACATGAGGCGGCTAAGCGCAGCAGTGGTAGGGGAGGAGTAGCGCGCAACTACAGCGTCGTACAAGGTCTTAGCACTCTTGTACTGGCTAAAGTGCGCACGCTCAGTGGTCGGTAAGTGGTGACGCACAACAAGGCGGGCAACAGCATCGCGTGTGGCCCACTGTGAGCGAACAGTGCTATCAGCAGTAGCAGGCGGGGCAGGGGAGGCACCAGAGGTGAGATCGAACAGAGAGAGTCTGTTTGCCCTATCGCACTTTAGGAACAGTTGGAGGTCATCGACCCAGACCTCAAAGTCAACAGCACGACCCTCGGTATCAAAGGTAAGGACATTGGGGGTAGCCATGACTGCAGTGGCCTAGCAGGGAGTGATCTCACCAGTCCGAGTAAGTGGGGCTGGGGCGCGCCGGTAGGAGCAGTAGGGGCTCGACGGCAGGGCGGCTCGGCGGCTCGGCTGCTGGGCGGCTCGGCGGCTCCGCTGCTGGGCGGCTCGGCGGCTCGGCTGCTAGGCGGCTCGGCGGCTCGGTTGCTGGGCAGCTCGGCTGCTCAGCGGCTCGGCTGCTCGGCTGCTGGGCAGCTCGGTTGTCGGGCGGCTCGGTGGCTGGGCGGCTCGGCTGCTCGGCGGCTCGGCTGCTCAGCTGCTGGGCGGCTCAGTGGTGAAGCGGCCGCTAGGGGCGGCGACGATGCCGCGTAGGGAGGGGAGCGGCGACGGGGCCGCTAGGGGCGGCGGGGGGGGGGGGGGGGGGGGGGCGCGTAGGTAGGGAGGCAGCGACAGGGCCGCTGAGGGCGGCGATGGGGCTGCTAGGGGCGGCGATAGGGCCGCGTAGGGGCGGCGACAGGGCCGCGAAGGTAGGGAGGCGGCGACGGGGCCGCTAGGGGCGGCGACGGGGCCGCGTGGGGGCGGCGACGGGGCCGCTAGGGGCGGCTACGGGGCCGCGTAGGTAGGGAGGCGGCGACGGGGCCGCTAGGGGCGGCGACGGGGCCGCTAGAGTCGGCGACGGGGCCGCGTAGGGGCGGCGACGGGGCCGCTTAGGGGCGGTGACGGGGCCGCGTAGGTAGGGAGGCGGCGACGGGGCCGCTAGGGGCGGCGACAGGGCCGCGTAGGGGCGGCGACGGGGCCGCCTAGGGGCGGTGAAGGGGCCGCGTAGGGGGAGAGGCGGCGACGGGACCGCTAGGGGCGGCGACGGGGTCGCTAGGGGCGGCGACGAAGCCGCGTAGGGACGGCGACGGGGCTGCTAGGGGCGGCTACGGGGCCGCTTAGGGGCGGCGACGGGGCCGCTAGGGGCCGCGAGGGGCGGCACGGGGGGGGGGCGTGGGAGGGGCCTCTAAGGGACCTCAACGGGAGGGCGGCCCACAAGGCGCGCCTCGGGCAGAAGCGACTGGCGCTCCGGTCAGAAAAAAATTTCAGTGGTGGGCCCAAGGAAGCGTTCCCACTAGGGAACCTGCTCTATACCATGTGAAAGAATGAGGAATGAATGAACCAGCACAAGGTTGGGTACAAGTAGGAAACCCTAGGAAACTGTACCCCATAGTGTCTACCCCACTATAGCCTAGACAAGCTATATGATATGAGTTTGACAGGCGCGTATTTTGATGATGATGCGCAAAGCTAGTGCTCGTTGGGTGAAGATTTTTGTGTCGAAATGCATTTTATTGTGCAACTACTGCGTAGCGTAAACTCGCGGCGAAAATCGAATCGCACCCGTTCGCCCAAGCGTGACCCTCCCCTCGCCCTCGCTTTCATTTCCCTAGGTCCCACGCTTCCGCTCTCTGTCGCCCGCGTCGTCGCCATCGCTTCCGCAACTCGTCGCGTTCGCGACCCCTGCCCGTCGCCTTCGCTCCGCCCGTCGCCTTCACTTCCCCCCCGTCGCCTTCACTCCCCCCCCCCTTCCCCCCCTTTCCGTCGCCTTCACTTCCCCCTCTCGTCGCCTTCACTTCCCCCTCCCGTCACCTTCACTTCCCCCTCCCCTCGCCTTCACTTCCCCCTCCCGTCGCCTTCATTTCCCCCTCCCCGTCGCCTTCACTTCCCCTCCCGTCTCCTTCATTTCCCCCTCCCGTCGCCTTCACTTCCCCTTCCCGTCGCCTTCACTTCCCCCTCCCGTCGCCTTCACTTCCCCTTCCCGTCGCCTTCACTTCCCCCTCTCGTCGCCTTCACTTCCCCCTCCCGTCGCCTTCACTTCCCCCTCCCGTCACCTTCACTTCCCCCTCCTCTCGCCTTCACTTCCCCCTCCCGTCGCCTTCACTTCCCCCTCCCGTCGCCTTCATTTCCCCCTCCCCGTCGCCTTCACTTCCCCTCCCGTCTCCTTCATTTCCCCCTCCCGTCGCCTTCACTTCCCCTTCCCGTCGCCTTCACTTCCCCCTCCCGTCGCCTTCACTTCCCCTTCCCGTCGCCTTCACTTCCCCCTCTCGTCGCCTTCACTTCCCCCTCCCGTCGCCTTCACTTCCCCCTCCCGTCGCCTTCACTTCCCCCTCCCGTCGCCTTCATTTCCCCCTCCCCATCGCCTTCATTTCCCCCTCCCCGTCGTCTTCACTTCCCCCTCCCGTCGCCTTCACCTCCCCCATTTCCCCCATTCACGCTCTCTTACCCCCTCTGCTCGCCCCTGTTTTCCCGGCTCACTCCTATACTCACTCTCTCCCTTCCTGCTCACTCTCTTCCCCCCTGCTCACTCTCTTCCCCCCTGCTCACTTTCTTTCCCCCTGTTCTCATCCCTCTTTCCCCCTTTCTTACCCATTTCCCCCCTGCTCGGTCTATTTCCCCCTGTGCTCGCCCCTAAAATCCCCTGCTCACTCCCTTACCCCTTGTTCACTCTCTCCCCCTCTGGTCACTCTCTTTCCCCCTGTACTGACCCATCTTTCCACCCTGTTTACTCTCTATTCCCCTTTGTTCAACCCCTTTTCCCCCCCAAGTCCTCTCATTTCCCCTCCTTAGCCCCATGCTTACTGGCTATCCCCTTTGCTCACCGCCTTCTCCACCCTGCTCTGCTCACTCTGTTCCCCGCTTCGCTCACTCCTCTGCCTAACTCCTCCCATACATGCCCTCCACCTTCACCCCTCGCTTATTCTGCCATATCCCCTCTTCCCTCCCCGTTCCATACAGAACCATGCGTGTACAGGTGCCAGCACCATGGGTCCCAACAGGAGTGGGTTAAAAGTTACCACCTCCTAGCTTTGTGCTTGTGCTTATAGTCTTGTCTTGGCAACATAAATGGAACATTATTTTGCTTTGTTGCACTTTTTTATAATGCTCCAAATCACGATGTGGTGTATTATGAGACGCATCCAACCAACTTCAATAACGGTACATGGCATAGCTATTGTAGACAACTAATATTATCAAACCCTATACTCATCACAACTGGATGCATGGCAGACCTGCACAGACACGAACCACTAACTCTGATGGAGGGTGGGGAACAAAGAATGCACGGAGGCAGAAAATGAGCAAGGGAGACACGGAGGAAGGGCGGAAGGGTGAGCGAGATGAAGCATGGGTAGGGGAGAGAGAGCACGGAAAGGCACTAAGGCAAAAGCGTGGGCGACGGTGAGAGGATGGGCGGATGAGATGATGGGCGGATGAGAGGATGGGCGGATGAGATGATGGGCGGATGAGATGATGGGCGGATGAGATGATGGGCGGATGAGAGGATGGGCGGATGAAATGATGGGCGGATGAGAGGAAAAAGTGCAGCTGGGTACAAGGGGGAAGGTAGAAGGGTGGAACGGAGGAGCAGGGTTGGCGTGAGGAAGGGAGTGGGAGAGTGGGAGATGGAAAGGGGAAGGGGGACTGGATCGAGGGAGGATGAGGAGAGGAAGAATGGCAGGAAAGAAGGATGGGTGGAAGGGAGGACGGGCAACAGAGAGGGTAAAGAGGGTAGGGAGGCAGAGAGATGGAGGAAGGGAGGACGGGCAACAGAGAGGGTAAAGAGGGTAGTGAGGCAGAGAGATGGAGGAAGGGAGGAAGGGAGAGGGAGAGGAGGACGACTGTGGGGGAACGACGGAACGGAGTAAGGGAGGAGGGCAAGAGGTAAAAGTGTGGTAGGGTATAAGGGTGGAACGGGGGATAGGAGGATCCCTGCACCCTCTCTTCCTAACCCCCGCCTCCCCTGCCCCGCCTCCCCCGCTCCTCTGACCCGCCCCCTGCAGCACTGCACTCCTTGCTGACCGCCTGCACGCGCTGCCCTGGCTGTGCGCCAAACACTCTGCTCCAAAGCCGCACCACCACCTGCCATGCGTGTGGGGTTGGTGCGAAAGAGGAGAGGAGGTCAGTGCAAGAGAGAGAAGGGTGGGTGCTGCTGACCACGCACCCTTCCACACCCCACAGCGAACGAGTCACGACCCCTTCCCCAGCTCCCAGCCCAGCTCGCCATACCTCCCCGCCCAGGGTGGGTGAGAGGCTGATGGGGAGGGAGAATGAGAGAGAAGGAAATAAGGGTGCAAGGGTGGGGTGGTAACCATGGGCGATGGTAGGAGTAGAGAAGGTGGTAATGGGGAGAGCGTAAGCGACCTAACGAGGCAATTTGGAAGGGATACAACGACGACCCTAAATGCGATGGGAAGGGATGAGAGGGTGGGCGGCATGGGTGGAGACGCGATGGTGAATAGGGGGAGTGATGGGCAGGGGAGTGATGACGACGTGGAGAGAGGTGGGAGAGAAGGGAGGTCGGCGGGAAGTCTAACTGAGGGCGATGGGAGGGCAAGCGTGGGCGACAGTGGGGGTGGGCGACGGTGGCGGTGGGCGACGGTGGGGGGAAGCGTGGGCGACGGTGGGGGGAAGCGTGGGTGACGGTGGGGGGAAGCGTGGGCGACGGTGGGGGGAAGCGTGGGCGACGGTGGGGGGAAGCGTGGGCGACGGTGGGGGGAAGCGTGGGCGACGGTGGGGGGAAGCGTGGGCGACGGTGGGGGGAAGCTTGGGCGACGGTGGGGGGAAGCTTGGGCGACGGTGGGGGGAAGCGTGGGTGACGGTGGGGGGAAGCGTGGGTGACGGTGGGAGGAAGCGTGGGTGACGGTAGGAGGAACCGTGGGCGATGAGAGGGGAATCGTGAGGGAAGGTGGGGGAAGGCATGAGCGACGGAGTGGGGAAGCGTGGGGGAAGGCAGGAGGAAGCGTGAGCGGAGGTAAGGGGAAGCGTGAGCGATGATGGGGGAAAGCGTGGGCGACGGTGAGGGGAAGCGTGGGCGTGTGCGTGGGGAGGTGTGTGAGAGACGGTGGGGAGAAGCGTGGGGGACGCGGAAGGCGATAGGTCCAAATGCGATGTTTGGGGATGGGCTAGGATTAAATGTGAAAATGCTCATGGCCTATGCTTTAGTGGCTTTTTATTCTATCTCTTCGCATGATCTAATCGCTTCGCGTACTATGGAAATCGCACGACCTGAATTACCAAAGGAGGCAAACTGTGCACATTTTGAGCCCTTGTTCCTTCAGGTGGGTGTGGTTGGGACTCTCGCCAACCAGACCCGTTCTGCTCTACGACACTCTGTTTTTTTGCGCTTTGTTTTCTGGTAACCAGCCTGGCTCGGGAGGTCAACTGTGGGTTCGGTAGGCAAACTGTGCACAGTTTGCCTTCCTTTTTTTGTAATTCAGGTCTTGGGCTTTATGGGTGTGTTACTCAGGAATGTTTATTCAACTATTCCATATCGTAACACTCCCCTTCATTCCTGGAGGAGCGAAGTCTTGACGCGCTTGGTTATGCCGCAGATGTTTCCGCACTGATGATACTGCTGACGTGGCAGCTTTTTGGTGAGGAAGTCGGCTGCCATGTCACCAGTGGGGCAGTAGGTTAAGATAACTTTGCCTTTGTCAACTTCTTCTTTGACAAAGAAGTAGCGGAGTGCGATGTGCTTGGTGCGATTGACGAAGCCGGGCTTGTTCGCGATCTTGATCGCGCTTTGATTGTCGCAGTGAAGTTCGAAGCTTGCGGACGTTGCAATTTTCGCCTCTTGGAGTAGCTCCTAAAGGTAGAGGCCTTTGCGAACTGCTGACATGGGTGCGATGAATTCGGCTTCAGCAGAGGAAAGTGCCACCATTTATTGCTTCTGGGAATTCCAGGAAATTGGTCCAGTGGGCTCGAGGCGAAAGAGGAAGCAGGTTCGAGACCGTCGATTCGCAGGGTCGGTGGTATGATCTGCGTCCACATAGCCAACAAGGCTGAAGGAGCGGGTCGTGAGAGTTGAGTAGGTGAGCCCAATGTGCGGTGTGGAGATGAAGTATTGCAAAGCACGCTGTAAATCCAGCATGTGCTCCCCTTCAGGCCGCTTGGCATACTGGGCGAGCTGGCTCGAGATGTAAGACAAGTCAGGCCTGCACGTGACCGCAGCGAAGAGGAGACAGCCGAGTTGCTGCTGGTACAGTTGATGACCGGATGGGTTGAGTGGGGTGGTGTTGGGGAGATGTGGGGTGGTTGAGTTGCGGTAAGGAGTTGAGAGGTTGGTCGGTTTGATGTTGAACTTGGTGGCAAGAGTTTCAGCGTACTTGGAGGTGGAGAGATGAATGGTGTCAGCAGTGTAGGAGATGTTGAGGCCCAAGAACTGGGTCACTCGGTTTGTGCTGGTGATTTCGACTCGGTTGCTGAGGTTTTTCTCGAATTGGGCGAGGAGGTCGCTGCTGGTGCCGGTGTAGAGGAGATCGTCAACGTACGCCGTGAGGAGGATGTAATCTCTGCGGTCGTGGAGGCGGTTCATGCCGCGGTTGTGAGGCAGCTGAATAAAGCCAATGTTGAGCAGAATTTGGTGGAGGTACTGCTGCCAGAGGCGTGGAGCCTGCTTGATGCCGTAGATTGATTTGCGGAGCTGACACACGCGGTCGTCGCCGTAGGTGTGAGGTTGTTCAACGAAGATGAGCGCATCCACGGGTGCGTAGAGGAAGGCATTTTTTATGTCGATTTGGCGGAGGGGGAGATGTTTTGCTGCAGCAATGACAAGGAGTATGCGGACGGAGGTGTGACGGCTGACAGGGGCAAAAGTCTGGTCGAAGTCAATACCGTGGCGTTGATCAAAACCACGAACAACCGAGCAGGCCTTGAAGCGCTCAATGGTGCCGTCGGCAGTGGTTTTGACAAGGAACACCCATTTTCCCAAGAGTACGCGTCTCCCCTTCAGTGCGGCTCGGTCAGCGATAACCCAGGTGTCGCGAGCTTTAAGCGCGGCGACTTCGGCATCCAATGCGGCGCGTCATTCCTTGGTGTGGGAACAAGTTACAGCTTGGCGCGGGGTTTTGGGTTCAACAGCTTTGGGCGGACAAGACACAGCCATGTGGAGGCCAAGGATATGGAAGCCAGAGAGACCAGGGCTGTGGCGCCGATCGCTGGTGACTTCCACCACGTCACCACTGGAGGGTGTGGGGCTGAGGAGAGAGTCGCGAGAGGACTCGAGGGGAGCGCTGTCCTCGTCCTCGTCTTCGTCACTCCAAGGGCGAGGGCCAGGGTGAGGATCCGTTCCATGAGTATTGCTGCGGCTTCATCTTCAGGTGCTGCGAAGCTGCGTGGTGGGCGCTCGTAGTTCGCGGTGTTGGTTTCGCCTCTGACGCGGTCAGCGTGGCGCTCGTACTGGAACTTGCAAATGGAGAGATCTTCGTAGAAGATGACGTCGCGGCCGCAACGATCTGAGATGTCTCGTGGTCGAGGATGGTCCATGCATGGTGCTCGAGGCTGATGCCAAGATGCACGCCCCAGCGCGCGCGACGTTCGAACTTCCCGGTGGTCGCCGTTGCGGGTCGATACTGAACCATGCATCCCCAGACACGGAGCATGGAGACGTCGCCTTGCTTGCCTGTGAACTTGAGGTGTGGTGAGAGATTGTCGGTGTTGGCAGTGATGCTGAGCAGGTTGTGCAGACGGACAGCGTGATGCATGGCGTAGGGCCAATATTTCGTGTCAACGTCGCTCTGCTGTAGGAGAGCGCGAACCTTGGTCATGAGTGTGCGGTTGGTGCGTTCCGTGACGCCTTGAAGATGTGCGTAAGGAAGGGAGAGCTTGTGAATGATGCCCTTCTCCTTTATGAGGGCCTGCATCTTGTCGCTCTTGAACTCTGCTGCACAGTCAGTTTGCCAGAGCTTGAGGGTCCAGCCGGCCTGAGTCTCCGCATTAGCGTGCCAGACCTTGAAGATTTCGAATGCCTTGCTTCTGGTGGGAGACATTGGCGACCAAAACGAAGCAGGAGTGAGCGTCGACGAAGGTAAGAGTGTATTCTTTGTTACAATAGTAAGCACGGTGAGGAGCCATAGCTAGGGTTTAGCTAGCTAGGCAAGAGAGAAATGAACAAAGGAGGGGATTCACTAGCAGCAGTTGGGATACATATAGCAAACCCTAACTGGGTTGTACCTGCTATAGAGCACCCCACTACAGGCTAGATAATAACATTCTGACACACCCCCATAGCCAAAGTGGGGTGTAATCAGCAGAGCACACAGTCATAGAGCAGGTGCACAATTGCAAGCAAAGCTAGAGGCTATCACAGAGGGCAAGTGAGGAGGAGGAGAGACTGTGGGGGCGAGAAGATGGGAGGCGACTGCTGAAGCTGCAGACACACAGGAGCTGCTGGCTCAGTGGCTACCGAAGCAAGTGTCAAACATTATATATGTTGTGCTTGTTTAGGCTACAGTGGGTTAGCCTATAGGGGGTACACAATTCTAGGGTAAGGTACTTGTATTGATTTCACTGTTAGTTCAACAATTCCTGTTCATTCATTTCAACATGGTATAGAGCAGGTCCTTCCAAGGACCAATTTTTTAGGTCCCACCACTACCTACCTACCTACCTACCTACCTACCTGCACCCTAGGGCGCCTCGGTTTTCACGGCCCTCTAAGGCCTCGCGACCCGCGACCCGCCCCTTAGCGACTCGCGCGCCGCCCCTTAAGGCCCCGTCGGCCCACGCGATCGCCCCTAACGGCCCCGTCGGCCCCGCGCTCACCTCCCTAGAGGCCCCCGTCGGCCCCGCGCTCGCCCTTAGCGGCCCCTTACGGCCCCGCGCTCGCCCCTAGAGGCCCCGAACGGCCCCGCGCTCGCCCTTAGCGGCCCCTTACGGCCCCGCGCTCGCCCCTAGAGGCCCCGAACGGCCCCGCGCTCGCCCTTAGCGGCCCCTTACGGCCCCGCGCTCGCCCCTAGAGGCCCCGATCGGCCCCGTGCTAGCCCTTAGCGGCCCCTTACGGCCCCGCGCTCGCCCCTAGAGGCCCTGAACGGCCCCCCCGAGAACGAGCCGCCCAAACCGAGCAGCCCGAACCAAGCCACCCAGCCCGAACCGAGCCGCCCGAACCGAGCCGCCCAACCCGAACCGAGCCACCCGAACCGAGCCGCCCGAACCGAGCCGCCCGAACCGAGCCGCCCGAACCGAGCCGCCCAGCCCAAACCGAGCCGCGCCGCCCGAACCTAGCCGCGCCGCCCTTCCCGAGCCGCGCCGCCCTACCTAAACCGAGCCGCGCCGCCCGTACTGGACCGAGCCGCCCTACCTGAGTCGCACTGCCTACTATTTTTGGGGTGCCCCTACTGCTATTACTCCTATACTGCTATGGCTAGCCCTCCTGTACTGGCTTTCGATGCTGAGGGCCGCCCAGTGAAGTTCGAAACCTGGCTAGATGACCTACACCTCTTCCTACAGCTCACTGCCAAGGAGGACATCTCACTGTACGATCACGCCCTAGGCCATGCTCCTGCTCCTGCTGCTACTGCTGACAGCACTGCCCGCTCACAGTGGCAGACTCGTGACGCCCACGCTCGCTTCGCTATTTGCAACTCCCTGCCGATAGATGAGCGCGAGCACTTTGGGCAGCACAAGTCTGCACAGGCACGGTACACTGCTGTCGTTGCCCGCTACTCCTCACCGGCCTCTGCCGCACTAGGCCGTCTCTCTCTTCCCTACCTGTTCCCCGACTTAGCCTCTTTCCACACAGTCGCTGACCTCATTACGCACCTCCGCACTAGTGAGGCTCGCTTCCGCGCAGCCATGCCTGATGAGTTCCTTGCCAAGAACCCACCCCCACTCTGGCTCTTTCTCTACCACCTAGTCACCCGCCTCTCTGACACTCTGCGCTCAGACAGGGACCACTTCCTTGCTCGCTGCCCCACTGAGCT